CCCAATAGCTAGCAATCCCAAACAGTCCAGTGGAGCCTGAGCGGTAGGTGTTGCCTTCTGACACACTTCCGGTGATGTCAGGGGGTGTGGCATATGCAAATGAGCTATGCTAATGAGCTCCTGCACCTCTTTTTCTACGAAATGACCCCTGTCTAGGAGTAAACCCCACTGAACATAGTGGGAGTTACTCATGAGTATACACGCCAAGGATAGTGTTGCAAGATACTACAGGACCGAGAAGCAAAGTACAAAGATGCGAGGGGTACTGTGCTGTTTTTTTCCCCCATGGCCATTTCCCAGTTTGACCTTGTTCTTTCTTTCTTTTTGTTTCCTGTCTCAGCAAGCACTGACAGGGTTAGATGATCTGCGACAAGTGAGGGCCCTGGAGATGCGTGTTGACACAAGAGAGAACAGCCTGGGAAACTTTGGTGAGAAATAATTGATCTGGCCTTTTGCTAGTTGACTCTTAGTAATATGAAGATGGGAGTTGCCGAAAATGAGCTATGGGAGTTTGTTTTGTGGGTTTTTAAAGTTCCTTGTTTCTGGATGCAGACAAATCTGGAACTATTTGTGACAAGGAAGCTCTTAGAAAGTAGTGGTTGGTAATGGCTTTATAATGCTACCAGGTTTCTTTATGTAGTGGCCACAAATCAATTTAACGGACAGTGTACCCTTATTTGATTTTTGCCTTCTGGCAGACACACTAAGTTGATTGTGTGCCTGAGTCTGTCTTCTTCTCTGGGTGAGGAAGCACTTTAAAAGCAGAAAGTGGTCTTGGAACATTTCTGATTAAAAAAAAATAGTCTCTGTTAATTATATATTTGCTGGGGGAGATTCCCGACGCCCATCAGCCCTGTCATCCTATTATTTTTAGTACTACTTCAGCCTGTAACCATAAATGCTATGCTTTCTAATACTGGCTATGTCCCAGAAATTGGCTCTCATAAACCATGTTTAGCAATAATCACTGATGACTGCATTGAAAGAATGCTTAGTATACAGGAGATGACGTTTTATTTAAGTAGTCATAACCTGGTCAGTTTATTTGAATCCGCTCCTCCTATGAACAGAGCGAAGAGCCCTGTAAGCTCAAAATCTTTCCCAATCCCACTTAGGGCTGATTCACACGGTACATAGTCTATGTGACAGATATGAGACCATCACAAAGACTTTGGATGAGATGCCTGCCTGGAGTTCCATTCTGGGAACTCAGTTCCTAGGGCAATGGGGACCCAATTCAGATCAGGATTGTAGAGCATGGGGAAATCTTTAAGTAGTCATAACCTGGTCAGTTTATTTGAATCCGCTCCTCCTATGAACAGAGCGAAGAGCCCTGTAAGCTCAAAATCTTTCCCAATCCCACTTAGGGCTGATTCACACGGTACATAGTCTATGTGATAGATACGAGACCATCACAAAGACGTTGGATGAGATGCCTGCCTGGAGTTCCATTCTGGGAACTCAGTTCCTAGAGCAATGGGGACCCAGTTCAGTTCAGGATTGTAGAGCATGGGGAGAGCATGGGGAAATCTTTCCCAATCCCACTTAGGGGTGATTCACATGGCACAAAGTCTATGTGACAGATATGAGACCATCACAAAGACTTTGGATGAGATGCCTGCCTGGAGTTCCATTCTGGGAACTCAGTTCCTAGGGTAATGGGGACCCAATTCAGATCAGGATTGTAGAGCATGGGGAAATCTTTCCCAATCCCACTTAGGGGTGATTCACACGGCACAAAGTCTATGTGACAGATATGAGACCATCACAAAGACATTGGATGAGATGCCTGCCTGGAGTTCCATTCTGGGAACTCAGTTCCCAGGGCAATGGGGACCCAATTCAGATCAGGATTGCAGAGCATGGGGAGAGGGAGCGTAAGCCTAACTGAAATGGCCCTGGGGAGCCACCCCATGCCTCAGTGGAGAAACTTCTATCTATTGATTGAGACACAAAAGTTTCCTCAGTGGGACAAAGAGAGTTCCTGAGGATGTTTTGGGTTGGGAAAACGGGGCAGGGGAAGGCTGAAATCCCTGCTGCCAATATGCTGCAATCCTGATCTGAATCGAGCCCCAGCACACTGGGGAATTGAGTTCCCAGCATGGAGCTCTTGATGCCCATCTATTAACATTCGTTGTGTCTGCTATGTGGATTTTGTAACATGTGAACACCCTCAGGTGTGGATGGGGCAAAAAAATAATATAACATAAAATTAAGGGGTCATCTTGTAAGAAATTTATCTTAAAAATCTGTGAGTTTAATAAGCTCAGTAAATAAGCAAGAAGATCAAATCAGTCAATCCTAAAAGAAATCAAGGCCAGATAATGAAACTGAATCTCAAATACTTTGGCCACCAAATGAGAAGGGAGCACTCCCTGGAGAAGACCCTGATGCTGGGAAAGACTGAAGGTCAAAGGAGATGGGGACGGCAAAGGATGAGATGGTCAGACAGTGTCATAGATGCAATGAACATGAAATTGAGCCAACTTCAGAGGACGGCAGAAGACAGGAAGGCCTGGCGGGATATGGTCCATGGGGTCGCGAAGAGTCGGACTCGACTGTGCGACTGAACAACAACAAAAAACGGGAAAGTGAAGAACATAGAACTTACATACCTCTTTTGGCCCTCTGTTGCCTCTGGTGAAGGTGATTTCACAGGGTTTTGGAGCAATACAAAACTTATTTGTTCAGAAGTGGAAGTGGGATAAATGTATACACCATAAGCTGCAATTCTTTCAAACTTTCAACTGTCTGGGGAAAGAATAATCTGTCTCCATTAGAAGCAGGTATGGAGGCACTGGCTGCATTAAAAAGTCACAAGAAACTGGTTTATAAAGCATGGTTTGACTAGATTCCCCCCCCCCCCCCCCAAATGATATCCAAATGGAGCATACCTTTAAAATTGCCAGTTCCTAGAGGTGGAAAATATAAGGGAATATACTCTTACTTTAGGCAGACTTTCTGTTAAAACGTATATTTCATATGTCACAGTTAAGAGAAAATGAGTGTGTATACAAATATGATGATCACATTCTAGTGTATCTACCTACAAATTGTTATTTTCCTTTCCTTACCTTATAGGTGTTTATCTCCCGAACTTAAAACAATTGAAACTGAACAACAGTGTGCTTACATCTGTGAGGTAAGAAGCTAGAATTAAAATTTGATATACTCTTACACACACACCCCTCAGTTAGAGCCAAACTACATGTTCATTTTTGAAAAGAGTTGGGTCCAAGTTCCGCTGAGCCAACTCAGGTTCCCTACATCCACACAGCAGCTGCAGGGAATGTCTTTTAAAACATAAATGAGAGCCCGAACGGGTTTCAAACACCACTCCTGTACCTCTGACAAGCCGTTCTCCCATGTGGAAACACAACTAGATGGGGAGTTGTTTCCCTGTTTTTGCTGCACAGTGTGTGCAGAATACTCTGTGTGGAGCAGCAAAAACACGGAACTAGCTAAACCCCCCCCCCCAGCACAGTTTCTGCATAGGAAAACATCTAGGTTGGAGGAAGCAGGAAGCCTTCCTCTCCCCGCCCCACAGCAGTGATCTGAGCACATTTGGGCTTTCATTTATTTTTAAAAAGCCATTCCCCACAGCTGTTGTGTGGCTGCAGAGAACCCAAGTTGTGGAACCCAGACCCAGATTTTTAAAAACATCAGGGGTCATTTCCTGCAGGAGCGCACAGGAGCAGAGCTCCAGCAATAAAGAGCCCAGGGGGCGGGCACATGCAACAAGCCCAGCCCCCTGCTCCCAGCAGCCCTCAGTCAGAGCAAGAAGCAGCCAGGTAAGCTGCAGGGCCCCCCGCCAGCCCAAAACAGTCCAGTGGCACCTTTAAGGCCAAGTTTTATTCAGGTACAAGCTCTCCCTCCTCTGTGAGGACAGATCTGCACGTCCCCCCCCCCCCAATAGCTAGCAATCCAAAAGAGTCCAGTGGAGCCTGAGCGGAGGGTGTTGCCTTCTGACACACTTCCGGTGATGTCAGGGGGTGTGGCACATGTAAATGAGTTATGCTAATGAGATATGCTAATGAGCTCCTGCGCCTCTTTTTCTACGGTGACCCCTGAATAACATGTAGTTTAGTCGTCATCCCTTCTTCCCACACTTGTTCTGTTATAACCCAGATCCAGATTTTGGACATCTTGGGAACAGTCCACTGATTTCTGTTATTATTATTTTTTTTTAATGATGCAAAGATGTCGATCGAGTATACATCATATTACATGTAGCCTGCAAAACCACAGCAGTTCAAGAAGCCAGTGCACGATTCTAGGTGGAGATACTGAAATTATTCCTGTCCTTCATATCCTTGGGCTCATGAGAAACATTATCAGAAGATCTAGGTGCATGGAATTACTCTCACACCCAGTTCTTCAAAAGTTTTCCATTTGCACACTTTTTGATGTAGCATGCTGAGCTTCTGACAAGGTGCATACTGGTAGCAAAAGAGGGAAGAATGCAGCAGTGAAGAGAAGAGGGTAATACATGGAACGAGGGGAAAAGGTCTAGGGAAGTGCTGCTTCCTAACCAGTGGGCTGCTTTTGACTTTCACATTCTTAATAGCTTCCGCTCGTGTGCCCCTTGTAGAGATGTGAAGGCCCCCCCCCCCCCATTCTTAATTGTTCCCAAGGAATCCCCCCACCTCCACTTTTCCTGATAGAAAAATTGAGAAATTTGGGGAAGCACTGTAAGACAAAATCTATGCAATATTTTCTCTTTAAGAACGAGTGAAATGCTTTTTAAGGCAAGGTTTTCATACTCAAAATGTATTGCAGTGGGAAAACTGAGAAAACGGGAAAACAGAAATTTTGGGGGAAATTGGAAAAAACCTCTTTGTGTGTGTAAAATATGACACTTTCAAGGGTTTTTTTTGAAATTTAAATAATTTTGACAATAATTAATATGCCATAATGTGTTTAATGATAACATATTATAACAGCGATCAGTGTTTTCAGTGTTAGGTTTAGCTTTATAACCAGACATTCTGGTAGTCCTACCTATTGTGGCTCTTTGATAGAGTTTCTGCCTATATAATCTCCTTTGTTTTGTTTTCAGTAAAATTTTCCATCCCCCCCCTGAAAACATATGTTTTATTTTATTTTGTTTTGTTTCAAAGTTGCCAGAAATTTTAAATCTCTAGTCTTCAGACTTTTTCCAAGGACACTGAAGTTAATGAGTGTGTTCTTTTGTTAACTGAAATGCTGATCATCTCTTTCCTGTGTGTGCCAGGATGCTATGGTACGCTTAGCTTACAGCCATGTAGATGTCTGGGTCCTCTAAACATGATAAATGAATAAAATACTGAGCTTTGACAGTTACAGCATTTGGTATATGATGCAGTACATTGTTTTTGATGTGTCTTTGACCATTTCTAGCCTCTGCTTAAATAAGTTTGCCTTCTGCATTTAGTACAATTAAATTGTAAGGGATGAGCAAAGGGGAAGGACTAGACCCTGGCACCATTCCCAGGCTAAAATTGTGCCAGCAGTTTTAAAGCAGCTGCCCAAGGCGACTGTGGCTTTCATAGGTTATTCACAGAGCCACAGATTTTAGTGTGTTTTGTTGTTGTTGTTAGTCTGTTTATATTTGTCTATCCATCTTTATTTAGGATAATTAAAGCATGCATACGATACGAAAGCACTAGAGTGCTGCATATTAATATTTCTTTTATATACAAATGTGCAAGCCAAGCAAAGTGGAGGTAATCAACACTCCTTCTGCAGATATAGGTAACGGTAAAGGTTTCCCTTGCTCGAAAGCCAATCGAATCCGACTCTAGGGATGCAGTGCTCATCTCCATTTCCAAGCCGAATTGCCAGCGCTGTCCGAAGACGTTTCCGTGGTCATGTGGCCGGCATGACTAAACACCAAGGCGCACAAAACGCTGTGACCTTCCCACCGAAGCGGTACCTATTTATCTACTTGCAGTTTCTTGTTTTCGAACTGCTAGGTTGGCAGGAGCTGGAACTAGAGATGGGAGCTCACTCCGTCACGCGGCACACTCAGGTCTTGAACTGCCGAACTACCGACCTTCCGGCCTGCAGTTCAGCATCTTGACCACTTAAGCCACCGCAGCCCCCTCTGCACATATAGCACAGCTCTTATCTCTGCCGTCAGATCCCGAGATAGCAATGAACAGCCCCCTGCTCCTACTGCAGCACTCCAGTTTCAACCAGCTCTAGTCAGAAACTCCCAACTCTGGTCTTTTATGCACCGGTGGTTTTTCCCTCACTTTTCCCCATGCTTCTCCATCACATTTTCTTTTTCGTTCTACATTCTCCCCCGCTCTCAACTCGGGCTGTCTTTTTTATTCCGCATTGATTTTCACCCCTTCAGCTCTCAGCTTGCTTTCCATTCACTGTATCTCTGGCTTTTCCGAAAGTAGCTGTGTTTCCCATTGCTTTGCTTCCAAGCCAAAAGCATTGCAAAGCAGAAACACTCCCTTGGGTTTTACCTCCCTGCCCTTTCCCCACCCTTCGGAGGCCATTCCTCTACTGCCCACATCAAGGTTGTTCCGCCCACTCCACCTAACATTAAAATGGCGCTTCGGGGTGGGGGGGGGTGGACTAGGGGTGTGCAACTTTTGTTTTCCAGCTGGGTTGCCCTCTCCTGCCACCCAGTTTAAATGGGCCAGCTGAAGAAGGTAGCATGGAGCTGCACCTGCTGGAAGCCATCGGCAGGGTCCCGGCAGGTGCAGCTCCATGCTGCCTCCTCTCTTTTTTTTAAAGAAACGGCAAAAGTCTAGCGCCAGACTCAAGCTGCTTGTTAAAAAAAAAAAAAGGAATGGCTCCCGGCTGCAGGACGCGGCCCCTTCTTTTGAGGGCGAGCTAGCTGCAAACTAGAGCTCTTGCCACAACAGAGGGAAGTGAGAAGGCAGATCGGGGAAGGCAAGAGCAAGGAGGAGAGCAGAGCACGCCCTCGAGAGCGCACTGCCACAGCTGCCGCTGCCGCCACTTCGGCTGCCCTGGCCAGGGAAGAAGGAAGCGGAAAAGCGGCGGCGGCGGCGAGAGCCGAGGCAGAGCTGAGCCAAAGCGAAAGGAGGAGGAGGAGGCAGGAGGGCAGGCAGCTGCTACTTTCCCTCCCTCTCCGCTGCATTGCGCATCTGGAGAGAGGCAATTCCCGAGCTGGAAGGAGGAGTGGGAGGAAGCAGGAGCAGAGGCAGCAGGAGGAGGAGCAGAGTGGGAGGGTGCAGGAGCAGGAGCAGAGGCCAGCCAGGCGCCTGCTGAAGGATCAGTGTACAACCGGAGGAGGAGGAGAGGCAAAGCTGGCCCGGAGAGCAATGCGGCACCTGGCCAAGGCAGGATCCACACACACCCCTTTCTGCCGGGCTCGTATTTTCCCTAGCTTTTTTTTTTAATTTTGAAATTTCCCACCCCCCCAACTCTATCCTGCAAGGGAAAAAACAGTGGGTGGAGAGATTGCAAGGGTGTGTGTGAACGTTTACATTGTTTTCACCCTGACTGAGCGAGCAGTGACCACGTATATGAAGGCGAACACCAAGCTGCCTTTTGAAACATCAGCAACCGACTTTCATCCTCCGCATCCTGGCCCCAAGTCTCCTCCTGCTCTGCTGATGTTTCAAAAGGCAGCCTTGTGTTTGCACATAACCCACAGAGACACATACACATGTTGCTTGCAGTGCCAGTGTCAGTGGGTTCTACCATGCATTCTGTACACTCAACATGTCCCCCATACTATGAAATCGTGTGCCTCTTTTCCATTCTCCGGTAGTCCTGGGAGTGGGGCAGTCCTTACTCCTGGGATCACAGCTCCTCCTCCGAAGGCAGGACCGGCCAGCCATTTTTGGTCCTGGAGGGGGAGGGGCTTGTCCTCTGTTTCCCCAGTCTACCCGGCCCTGCCTTCGAGGGAAGATGCAGGTCAACGGTGCTTAGCAGCATGAATAAAGAGGAAACCAGGCGACAAGGGGGGCTACAGCCTCAGGGAGACCCAGGTACCACACTAGTACTCTTCAGGGACTGCGGCCAGGTTGTCTGGCAGCAAGAGAGCCCCCCGCACCCAACGGCGACAGGAGGCCCCTGGCAGCTGCAGGCGTGCTTCCACTCCAGCGGGGAAGGCCTTCGGGTTGGCAGAGCCGACCTTCTTTCCCCCCGTATTCGGGGTGAGCCAATAGACCACGG